TTATACAGATGTCCATATAAAATAGAGGGTGTATCAGGGTAAAGTGTATTCCATGACCAGGGATGTGGCTGAAGTAGTAGACAGGTGTTGATAGATATTATCCTAATAAATTTGGAATTTACTTTGAAATAATAAATAGTACTGAGAGCAATTTAGCAAGAAAATGACATGATGAAACTGGTGAATCAAAATTAACCTTCAGGCAAGAGGCAGGGAAAGAACAAGACTGGATGAGAGCAAGACTAGAAGTGGAAAGACCAATAAGGTATTTAATTTATTTAGACAATAATAGCCGTACAGATGCTTAGCATGTGGCAAGTGTGAGGCCAGGTGCAGAGGGCACAATAGTCAACAAGAAAGAGGATCATTGCTATTTTCCAAAGTTTAAAATCTAGTACATTGATAAAATAATCCAAGGAATTGATACATTTGACCACTCCCTCTTTTACAAATTGCGTGCGTGCACACCAGAGCTTCTTACTCATAAGAGCAACTTAATCTGTTGATTGACCTTTCCTCGTCGTTCTCCACTCCTCCTTTCTCTGTCTTCTTCATAACCACCATGGACTTCTCAACTAATGTGAAATTAACTTCTTTATGTACTACATATGAATGAGATCATGTGGCATTTGTTTCTCTATTCTTGGGTTATTTAATAGCACAATGATTTCCAATTGTATTCATGTTGTTGCAAATGACAACATTGCATTACTTTCTATGAATTGATAGCATTCCAGTCATGCGGCTACGAGATAATAAAATATACTGTATATTTGAAATATTAGAGGCAAAGATTTTGAATATTTTGATAAATGAGGAGATAGGTATATTTAACCTATAAATATGTATACAGATTATTATATTACACAGTGTGTAAATGAATTGGAATTCACATGATACTCTATAAATATGTGTAATTTTGGGGGCCGGGGATTTAGCTCAGCGGTTCGGTGGCCTGCCTTGAAAGCGCAAGGACCCGAGTTTGATCTCTGGTGCCCCCCCCAAAAAAAGTATAATTTTTTATATCAATTAAAATTTAAAAGTATATGCAATAAAAAGTTATGCACATTACTTTATTAGTATTAAAAAATACAGACAAATAAGGGCAATATGTACAAAGTTTAACAATTTCTAGGGAATGTTAAGATTATATGTATATACTTCACGTTTTTCTACATGCATGTGAGAATATTGTAACTTGTACATTCATAGAAATAAATTATGCTTAATTGCTTTATAGTCTGCTTTTCTCTTAATAAGGAAAGGTAATCTTTCCAAATTCATAAACCAATCTGTTGATGTTATGTTTTACAAGGACATGATATACTGTTGCATTTTTGTATTTGGACAGGACTATTCAAAGCAATTTCGGAATTAATATCCTTATGACAGATTTATGAGAACATTGATATTTAAATAGATTGTATTCTTAAAAGTGGAATCAGAGAAACACACATTTTAAAGAGCTATGCCAAATAATTTCAATAAGCCTTTATACCCTTTTTTTCTCTAGCTTCCATATTTTTTTTCTGGCTTGCATATTGAGCGTTTTGTTTTTTTTTCATTTTCTTTTGTTATTTTTACCACTTGAGCAACTCATACAGTCTTCATTTGTTCAGTGTTGTATATTGACCTTACCCAGGGTTCCATAAATATTACTATAGGCAAAGACTTTTGAATAAAACTCAAGTTATGCAGAAAATAATACCAAGAATCAACAAATGGGATCTCATTGAATTAAAAAGTTTTTGCACAGATACCAACAAAGTGAAGTCACAACCTACAGAATGGGAAAAAAATTTTGCCAGCTATACCTCAGACAAAGGACTAACACCTAGAATGTACAAAAAGCTCAAAATGATTTGAACCTCCAAATTTAAAGACAATAAAAATGGGCATCTGAAATGAATGGACATTTCTCAGATGAAGAAATACAACTGGCCAATTGGCCAAATACAGTGCACCCATACAAACTTGATCAGTTCCCAAGGGCTGGTTATAACTCAAATTGGTTGTAAGTCAATACAGCTAAGATCTGGATGTTTACTTGGGCAGATGCTATAGATAACAAGAGGCAGATGAATCGTCCATTATCTTATTTAACCCAAGTTGTTCATATGTCAGCCTGGTCTTAACTTGAGGGCCCACTGTACATGAAAAAATGTTCAACATTACTGGCCATTCAAGCAATGCAAATTAAAACAACATTAAAGATTCCACCTCAACCCAGAAAGAGTGGCTACTATCAAGAAGTCAACCAATAACAAACACTGGTGAGGCTGTGAGGAAAAAGGAACCCTTCTCCTTTTTTGATGGGAGTGTACACTGATAAACCACTGTAGGAGTCACTATGTGTATTCTGCAAAAAACTAAAAGTACAAATCCCATTTGACCCAGCTATTGTCCTTTTGGGTATCTTCCCCAAAGAGTTAAAAATATCACACCACAGGGATGTGTGTACCCATATTGATAGCGCCACAATTTACAATAACTAAATCTTGGAAACAGCCCATATGCCCATCAATAGATGAATAAATAATGTGTGGTATTTATATATAATGGAGCACAACTCTACCACTAAGCAAGATAAACATGAGACATCTGTAAAAAGATGAGTGCACCTTGAGATCATAATGTTAAGTGAAGCAAATCAGACACACAAGCTAGAACAATGTATGGTTTATCTTATATGAAAAAGTTAACAGTAGAAAAGAGAAAAAAAGTTATTTTATTCTAAGTGTTTTTTGCTGTCAGCTTCTGATTTAACTTCAGTATAGTGTGAGAGCTAACAGAATTTCCATTTCTTTGGATTTGTTAAAGTCTTTATTGTTTCTGTGAGTGTGGTCTATTTTTTTTCCACATTGATTTTATTGGTACATTTTAGGTATACAGTGCAGTTACATTCATCATTGGGCTCTTGTACCTTGACATGACAGGTCTTGGTTCTCATTTTTTTCCCATCCCCTGCCCTCCCTTCACCTCCTCCTCCCTTCCCTATTTACAAACACTTTATTTCCATTTTTTCATTTTCTCATGTTTTTTCTTTTCCCATATATCCTTTCCCCTACTCTTCCCACTTCCCCTACACCTTTAGCCCTTTTCTTCCTATTACAAATTGTCAATTATACCATTAGGATTTTATTTATGATTATAGTTTTTCACACCAGAGAAACTATATGGTATTTACAATGTGTGTCTTATTTATTTCACTTAAGAGTATGGCCTCAATATGCATCCATTTTCCTATGAATGACTAATTTCTCATTCTTTATGGCTGAGCAGAGTGTGATCTATTGAACGAAAAGAAAATCTCAGAAAAAAACTAAGGTTAAAGAAAACTTTTTTACATATTGACTTTGTATACATGTATTTAGTGAATACTGTTATTATAATTTATTAATTCACTTGGGATTTTTATGTCGACATTCCTGTAATCTAATAGCAATTTTTTTCTTTTTTTCTGTGTTTTAACCTATTGTTTCCTTTTCTTATTTTGTTAACTAGAACTTCCAGAAAAAAATGTTGATTAGTGCTTGTAGCAGTATGTCTTTTGTCTTATTTCTGAATTTTTGATGTTACATCTTTCAGAATCATTCATGCTGAAAATTTTGTTAAAGGCAGGATCTATTTATAGCTTACAAGGCTCTGAGGTTTAAAAATCACTGATAAATATTGATATTAATTAAAAAATACCCTCAGACATACACATGTCCTTGGTGCATGTTGAAATCTATACGTCTGGATTTTATAAAGCACTTCAGATGATTGTAATTGCAATAAAGGAGGGGAATATTGTACTCTTTTATTTCTTCTATTTATTCTGAATAATTAAGTTCCATCCTAGACCTGTATCTTATCTTTTTCCACATCCTTTTTTCTCTCTCTCTCTTTTTTTTTTTTTTTTTTGTTTGAGACAGGGTCTCACTATATAGTTGAGACTGCCCTGGAACTCACTATGTAGCCCAGGCTGGTCTCGAACTCACAGCGATCCTCCTGCCTCAGCCTCCCGAGTGCTGGGATTACAGGCGTGCACCACCACGCCCAGCTTTTCTCTCTCTTTTTTGAAACAAGGTTTCACTATGTTGTCCTGGCTGGCCTTGATCTCACTGTGAAGCCCAGGCTGGCTTTGAACTCACAACAAAGTTCCTGCCTCTGCCTCCCTGAGTACTGGGATTGCAGGTGTGCACTACTCCACATTCTTTTTATACCTAATTTTAACTTTACTTTTTCTGTTATCACCTCTATGAATATACTTTCAAAAATTCTGTCTGGTAATCTGACCTCTTTCTTGTGAGGCCCAACTCCATCTGTTCACTCCATACAGAAAAGTTAACTGATTCTGTACATGGAAGTAGCTCTCAAACTCCATGTATCTAGAACTGATCTAATACTACCAAGTGAGACCTATCATACAGAAGCAGAAAACTACATGTTTAAATGTGTAGCGGCCATGGGGAGTGGTGTGTTCCAGCTTTCATTTGATTGCAAATTTCTTCCTTTGCCTTTTTTCCCCCTGAAACATGTCTTAATCAGTTTCCCCCACCCTTTCTCTTGCCTTTGTCATAGCCTATCACCAGAGCTGTCCTACCATGTGAAAATACACATTTGAATGTGTCTCTCAGGAGTGCTGGCCTCTGAGGATATTTTGTCTGCAGTTCTTGCATGGGAAGTCTTCCGAGAATACCAGTGAATATGACCTTAGGGACAGAGATTAAGATGAGATTAAAATTTTTAACATACTCAGGAAAATGTGCATGGTGGGGGACAAAAGGGGAAAGATGTTGACTGTTTCCAACTGCTTAATAATTGCTACTTCTGGGCAAGGAATTCAGCCCAAGGGTGGAGAATAATCACATGTTTTAAGGGTCACTTTTGGTATTAATTCATCCAACTCTAGAGGAACAAGTCCAAAGCTCTTAGGAGAAAGAAAGCTAAAAGATAAACCATTCTATTTCTGTTATATATTCCTAATTTTTTTTAAATTTGAATTTCTTACTCAGATAAATCTGCTATAACCGCAACCAAATGTATACTAACAAATAAAGAAATTGAGGAATTCATAAATTACAGAACTTAAAATGTGGAAGCAGCTAAACTGAAAGGATGCGGAAGGTGAGAATTCTTTAGTCTGTGGCTGGGAAGGAGATTACCCTTGAAATTCAAGGAAGATTCTTAAACTGTCACCTCTTGTCTTTTAGTTCTCAAAATGTTGATCCATTCTCTATACCTCTGTTTTTCAGGGACTTTGCTCATGCTGTTATTTTCCAGCATCTCCATGAGCACTGGAAACTTAGTAATCGTGCAAGAAATGTCTGTTGAGTTAATATTTCTTCATGTTAGTCCAAAAACTTGTGACTGTAATGGAAAATTGTTAGGATTTTAAAGTGTGTTGAATGCTTTTTAAGCTTTTAAGAATATAATTCAAGATATATACTGATTTCTGTCCTTAGAAATGTAATAAAACAGAAATGCTAATTTCCATCTAATCTGGCTACCAGGAAGTAAATATAGAAAAATAAGACAAGCATATACTTTTGTTAATTAAAGCACTTTATTTCTTCTATAAGAAGAGTTAAAATCCTCAGAGGTCAGAATAGCTATAAAAGTCCTTACCTAGAGGTGCCATTTGAGCCAGCTATACTCTTGCTGGGTATCTTTCCAAGAGAATTAAAAGAATCATACCACAGTGATATATGTGCAGCCATGTTTATCATAGCACAGTTTCTAATAGCTAAAACTTGGAAACAGTCCAACTGCCCATTGACCAGAGACTGGATAAAGAAGTTTTTTTTGTTGTTGTTTGTTTTTGTTTATAAAATGGAGTATTACTCAGCCGTAAAGAATGAGAAACTAGAGATATTTATAGCTAAGTGGATGCATATTGAGGCCATACTCAAGTGAAATTAATAGGACACACGTGTAAATACTGAATATTTTCTCTGGCATGAGTAACTAAAAGTGTAAATAATGATCAAAATATGTAATTGATATTGTGCAATAGGAAGAAAAGGTCTAAAGGAGTAGGGAAAGTGGGCAGGGTAGGGGAAAGGTAAAAAGGGAAAAGAAAATAAGAGAAAAGGAAAAAAAAATAGAAACAAAGTCTTTGTAAATAGGAAAGGGTGGAGAGGGTGAAGGAAGGCCAGGAGAATGGGGAAAAAATAAGAACCAAGAAATGCCATGTAAAGGTACAAGACCCCAATGATGAATGTAACTGTTTTATATACCTAAAATGTACCAATATAGAAGAAAAAATAAATTTATTACATGAATAAGGAAATAGCAGTATCCTTTTAATTGGAACAGGGCCATACAGGAGAGCTGAAAGAGTAGAGAACACTTTTTTAGCACCTCTGACTGCTCTTGCCTAGCTTACCTAAAGAAGTGCTGCATCGCAGCCTAAGCCACACTCAGCTGGGAGACCAAAGCAGAGAAGAAAGCTGGCCGGTGTCCTCCCCATCGGTACTTCTGGTCTTTCTCCTTATTCAGGTTCATGTGAAGGGCATTAACGGGAGTTAGTGAACAATACAGGGATCCCAGGCAGGACACAGAGATGATGGACGGACCCTCTTTCTTTTACAAATCAGAGGCTTCAATGTGCTGCACTCTCCAAAGTTTCTGGTTCTGGTAATTAGCATTCACTTGAATTCCATCGGACTTCAAGGCGGCAGAAATTCTAAATTAACTGAAGTCTCAGGGAGGGTGTGGATTCTCTAGTCCTAGAGATAAAGATTCCATTTATAATGTAACCCTCGAATAAATCTATATCTATAATTAATACTTTTTTTGTGGCACTGAGGATTCAACCCAGGAACTTCATACTGAGCTACATCTCCAGCCCTTTCTTTAATTTTTTATTTTGAAACAGGAACACTCTAAGTCACTAATGTGACCAGGCTGAGTTCAAATTTGTGATTCTCCTGCCTCAGCCTCCCAGAGTGCTGGGAATTTACATGTGTGCTGCAATGCTTAGCTGGAATAGTATGTGTTTGGAAAGGTAATGCAGATACCCAGGCAGACTATCTCCAACACCCCTCAAGGAGTCAGCCCTGAAAGCTGGATGATGAAGTAAATCTTTCCAAGAATCAGTGCTCAAGATGCAGACAAATGCATCAAAAGTGTTTCCTCTGCTTTCAAGAAATTAACTCAACAACATTTTGTACGTCATGCTTCTAACAAGGGACTGTTTCAGTCTTAATGAGATACTGTATTGCAGTTACTCTGCTTTTGGTATTCCCTTATTTATTGCTATAAGTCCATTCCCCACCCTTCACCCTTTTCCATACTACTTTCTGTCTGGGATGTTAACCAGCATGAACATCAGTTCATTCTTTTGTTCTCTAGCTTCTAGTTGGGTTGAAACATTGAGAATGTCACCATTAACTGAGGGTTATTCTGCCCAGTTTGGAGAGAAATCCTAAACCAGCAAGTGACAGCTCCCTACCATTAGCAGCTCTAGGCTTTGAGTGCCAGTAACCCTGGGCCCTGAGTCTTAAAGCTCTGAGGGTTATGGGTCTTCATGACTCTGGTCCACTTCAGCGTTTCAGCAGTGGGACTCACAGCCCCTTTGGAAGCTATCTAGAACTCTTCCAGCAGTGTGCGTGGCCTCTCCTCAGTCAGTCCACTCTTCCACAGGTGGGAATTATGAGTTGAGATAGGGTCACTCAAGCCAGACCATATTGGAAACTTTGCTGCAGCGAGAGGGTTAGGGGCAGTGGACCAGAGGGAGCCCTCCCTGGCTGCCCTGAGTAGTGTAATGAGTGCTGCTTGTGAAGGGGAATAGGCTGCACACACGTGCAGTTTCAGCACACGCATCTGAGAACTTTCTCAGTAACTGCAGAATGATCATCGTGTCATCTAGAGTTTTCAGGGTAGGGTGGAGTCATTGTGTCATCACGAGCAGTTTCAGGGCAGGGTCTCCCATGATAGGTCTCTCACCAGTTCAGGAGCATTATTTTATTACAAAAAAGGAGCATTGTCCTCCTTGACAATGCATATTTAAGATGCTGACCAAACAGTCACTTTAAGAAGAGGAAAATAACTAAGGAGTGATATAGACACGGTCAAAATTAGAACACTCCTACGTGCAATGTTTATGGCAAAATCATGTGCCTTTCATTGTGCTATTTTAAATGGAAATTACTGACAACTTAACATAAATTAAATAGTGACATTTTCTGTACCCATTATGGAAGTCCTCAGTAACACAGATTGTTACAGATGAAAGAGAAATTATTCTCTTTAGACAACTATATGCTTAATATGATAATAAAATACCTTTTATTAAAAAAAACAAGATTTTAGCAAAAGGATAATTGGTCACCCTATGGCATATCAAGCTTTAAAATCCCTGACTGGACTTTACTCCTTACAACAACCAGAGTTTCTTTAGGAATTATTACTTTCTGACCTCCAAGTAACGTATGAGTATTCCAGGAAAACAATCATGAACACTGCTCTTTTTACTGAGCCATACCTTTGACTGGAGTTCAGCAGAAGGAACTTTACATAGCATCCTACATGAGGTGACAAGATTGTTCTTGTATTATAGTAACATTTTTCATAATTAGGGGAAGGAAAGAAGATAATGCTAGAAGAATTTCTGCTGGTTCCTAAGAATAAAGTGCTATCTTTTGTTGTTGTCATTGTTGTTGTTTTGTTTTTTGAGATAGGATCTCCCTATGCAATCCTGGCTGGTCTTGAACAATCATGTAGCCCATGCTGGCCTTGAATTCACTGCAATCCTCTTACCTCAGTCCTCCTGAGTTCTGGGGTTACAGGTGTGCACCATCACACCCAGCTAAAGTGCTATCTTATTTTAGAACCCCAAAGTTAGATAAAATCATTTTGCACATCTAGTCACTAGATTATTTATTTGTAATGACTGTTCTGCCTTCAGAGAGCATACATTTATGAACTGTATGTTTTAGTCAGCGATTGACCAGCTATATGCTAGTGGTCCCTTATGACTATGATGAGGCTGAAAAATTCTATTGCCTAGTTACATTGTAGCTGCCATGACATCACAGGTGTAGTAACATGATAATGCAATGGATTACTCATGTATTTGTGATCATGTTGATATAATCAAACCTACCACACTGACAGAATACAGGCATAACACATAAGTTATGTATAATACATAATACTCAATGATGACAATCGATGACTATATTATTTAATTATAGTATGTTATGTTATGCCAGGAGCAGCCTTCTATATCTTTGCCTACAAGACTCTTGATTACATCAAGTGGTTATATGAGTGACTGACCTACACCAGATTGGTTTGTAGAAGTAGCCCCTGATGTTCACATGATGATAAAAATACCTAATGATTCATTTCCTAGAACATATCATCATCATTAAGGGATGCATGACTATATTGATTTTGGGTCATGTCCTAAACAGATTCACTCCCATAAAATTTCCTTCTTTTGACAGTACCATAAAGTTGCACAACAATAAATACTATATATAGTAGAATGTAAAGATACAAACTTTAGCACTGTATAGGCATTTAAAATCAAGCTGTCAAATTGAATTTATTGACATGGAAAGATGTTCGTGATATATCTTTTTCTTCTGTGGTGCTGGAGATTGAACCTAGGGTCTCATATGTGCTAGGCAAGTGCTCTACCATTGAGTTACATTATCAGCCCTACAATACATCATTAAGTACATAAACTATAAAGGTCTCAGAATAGTTTTTTTATGCTTTTTTAAACCTGTATGTAATATTTTTCTATGCATAAGCATACACTGCTTTTATTTCCTTAATATTTCAGCATGGAAATTTTCAAATAAGTGCAATAATGGGAATAATATAAAATACCCATTATGCAGCTTCAACAATCGTCAATTTCTTGAAAATCTTACTTTGTATCTTGTAACAAGGAAAAAGAGTTGACTTTAGTTAAAACAAGCTAAGATCTAAGTACTCGTTTTAACATTTTCTCTTACCCATAGACCGGCTATACCTTAAAGAAAATCAGTAAAGTTTAGGAAAAGATACCACAATAGTGTTCTTCTCAGTTGGCCAAGGTCATTCTCAAATTGTCCCTAATGTATTTGAAAATTTGGTTTGTTCAGTGTTTTTTCCACTTAAGCTTCTCAAAAATATCTACTGTAGTAGCCCCAATAGCAGGACAAAAAAAGCACATCACTCTAAGGGCTTGTGTGTATGAAATAAAATAATTTATTGAAAGTAGATAATTATTTTGAGATGTCATTTTTATTTTAAAATGGGTGTGTTAATTTTACCCATGTTTAATAAAGTAGAGTATTTTGAATTACTCACCACTGAATAACTTTGACACAGTAGCAAGATAGGCCACGTTGGTCTTCTGGCTTCCTGTCTTCTGAAACACCATGACAAATACCCCTCCGAACACAGGTCCCCAGTTTAAGAGTCACAGCCTAGAATTTTCTCACAATTTAAGACCCTGCTTCTGCCCTTTGATTTGTCTTCCTTGGCTTTGAAATTCCCCTGTCTTTGAGAACTTTGGCCTAAATTCAGTCCTTGCAGGTTTTCCGCTCTAGATCTCTCAGGTAGTGTGCTGTACTCTGCTAGTGACTCTCACTTTTTAGCACTATAGAAACTTGTGCCTAAGGCTGTGGAAAAGAATGAATTTGTAAGTCATAAATGCTAATGTACTCATTTATTTAATGAATCATTATTGGGTGCCAGCTAGTTTCTGCACTTAGCTAGGCCCTGGGGACAGCGTGATTAAAAAAGGACAGAATCTTTGTCCTTAAGGAGACTGTACTTCATGAAGGACACAAATAAAATAAAAAGGCCATTGCTACATCATGTGAAATATTACATTCTATGAAGCATCAAACAGGGACCCTAAGTGGATCAGGGAAGTCTTTCAAAAGTATGATGCAGACAAGAGATAAGAAAAAGGGGAAAAATCTCCTACATTTGAATTAAACATTTTCTTTGAATTAAAAACTTGCTCTCGTTCAATCATGAAATGTGGTTTCTTGAAGTAAAAGGATTGCCAAAATAGCATTTAGAATGGGAGCTACTTACACTATAATGATTAAGAGACACGAACATAAAAATTTTGATTACTTGAAGTTATGGATTAGAAAATAAATGTGTTTCTTTCACAGAATTGTAGGGCCCTTCGAGGCAGAATCGATTGCTCCTTCTTCCTATTCCCTTAGCCTTTGTTTCTACACCAAATGTTGAGCATCCCTATTTGCCTCTCGTCCTCTGAAAAAAAATCAATCATTCTACCTTCTAACTCAGGCCTTTGTGTAGTACCTAAACTTTATAGGCATCTTTAAAAAAAAGTGGATTAAATTAATTTTAATTTTTTAGGTTCAATCATTTGATTACTTTATCTTTAAAACACTATGTTAGTTTTCAGATAGTTTAGCTTTAACACTTCTAATTTTTCAATAAAAGAGTGGAGTAGGTAGTGGTAGTAAAGGTATTTATTACGAAAGGTGAAATGTGGCATGAAACTCATTTCCCACTGAGTATTCAGAACATCCCCCCCACCAGTGGTGAACTCCTTTAAGGTGGAGATGGAGGACATATAGTTAATCAGGGCTGGGTCACGGACAGGAACTGGACAACAGATGAGATGCCTGTGCTCACTTTCACCATGCCTTCCTGTGGGTAGATAGTCCTGTACTTTAACATATTAAAGCTAAAGACTTTATTTGGTTTGACTTTTAAAATTTTCCCACTTTCAAGCATGTATCATAGGTAACTCCTCATATGGACTGCTCTCTAAGTCTTTTCAGATGATAAATAAATGACATATCCATTGAGACAACTGCTTGGGGCTCTATTTTGAATAATTTATATCTCATATATCCAGATATTCCCCACAGTAGGCAGGTCTCACTATCATTTGCATATTTCACAATAACCTTACTAGCCCAGACAAAGCAAGATCCATTCATAGTTAGACTAAGGTTTGGAGTAGTGATGGGAGGTTATGGCTTTCAGAGATCAAATCAGTTTTGCTTATGATCTTGGAGGGAAACAAAAAAATATTCATTTAGCTCTGGTTTTAAAATAGCATAACAACATTTTTTACACCAGTATTTCTGGTAATCCTACAATTATTTTAAAACATCTCTACCTTTCTAGAGGCTCCCAGGAATAAAAAATAAATAACAACAAAGTTGTTTTCTTAGTCTCTATTTTCCTTTCCATTTATTAAAGTAAAAATTATTTTATAATACCCAAACAGAGAAACATATATCAAATACAACTTTTGCTAGAACTTATTTAAATAACCATTGCTAGGTCTAACAGTACAAGTTCAATGAATTTTATACCATTTTATTTCATTTAATTTAGACTTATTAGAATCATATTTTATACTATCCTTGATTAAATCATTAATAATTTTAAGATATATTGTTTCTTTTTCACAATGAGGTATATTATATAAAATTTTTATATAAATAAAAAATTTAAAAAGGAAGTAAAACTTTTCATCTTTGGATTTTGAATAGTAAATGCATTACCAAGACAATTTAGGTAATAAATTGCAAATATTCTCTTTCTGGTTTCACTCATGTATTTTTTAAAATAATTTTTTAAAAAATAATGGTCTTTTAGGTCTTGAGTCAAGTGATTTATTAAAAATACTAATGATCACCAGTTGGAAATGCTGTGTTAAAATATAGTACTTAATGAGCCACCCTAGAATTTGACTAGAGTCAAATCCCAGCCTAGAATTTACATTCCTACAAACCTATAAAAAGTTAGAAATACTATGAATTGGAAATGCATTCAACACACGTGACTTACTAAATATCATAGTGTAGCAACACAATGCACTTTATTATTTTTTTCATTGAGTTTATTGGTATCTTTTACGTATACAGTACAGTTACAGTCATCATTGGGATACCTCTACATGACAGATCTTGGTTCTTATTTTTTCCCCATATCCCTGCCCTCCCTTCACCTCCTCCACACTTTCCAATTTACAAAGACTTTGTTTCCATTATTTCCTTTAATACAATACACTTTAGAGGACAGATTTTTTTTTTTTTTATCCTCATGATTGCCTGACTGACTGGGAGCTATGGCTTGCTGCTTCTCCTGGCATGTCGAG